TGCCAAGTTCGCATCCGGGGAAATAACCGAAATCGATATTTCGGAGCTCGAGCCAACTCATCCGTCGGAGCAAACATTAGCAACAGAGGAACCGTCTCCTCCTAGCAAAAAAACCAAAAGGATCCAGTCCCCTGATGTTCTTAAAGGACCGAAGAAGCAAATCCAGGTGATTATGGGAGGATCCAAGCTATTTCGAGACTCCATTAGTGCAATCAAGCAACACGAACGGAGGGCAACCACCCCGATAATCAAGAAGGCCAGACTTACTGAGGAACAATTACCCGAAGTAACATTCTCCGAAAGAGAAACAAGTCAACTTGATAAACCACACGACGATGCTCTGGTCATAACACTCGATATTGCGCATTGCGAAGTGTCTCGGGTTCTCATTGATACTGGGAGTTCGGTGGATTTAATTTTCCTCGATACTCTGACAAGAATGGGGATATCGAAGCAAGATATAAGAAGGCCACCATCTCCTTTGGTTTCCTTTACTAGCGAAACTTCAATGTCATTAGGAACGATTGTGCTCCCGGTATGCGCAGAAGGCATAGTCAAAATGATCGAGTTCACGGTGTTCGATCGTCCGGCTGCTTATAATGTTATCTTGGGAACACCCTGGATTTATGAGATGAAAGCAGTACCTTCAACGTATCATCAATGCTTGAAATTCCCTACGAAATCTGGGGTAAAGCAAATCCTGGGAAGTCAGAGAGCTGCGAGGATGTGTTACATGTCCAGTCATAAGCTTAAAATTCAATAGCAACCACAGTTCGAGGTGCCTGCAAATCCCGTCAAAAAAATAAGCAGTGACCTCGTGGAGGCAGTGGTAGTTAATGAGGAGTATCCGGATCAAACTGTGAGAATAGGAGCGGGATTAAGCGAAACACTCCGAGTCGAACTGATAACTTTCCTAAAAAGGAATCAACAAACTTTCGCCTGGAAAATCGAGGAGATGACTGGGATCGATACAAAGGTCATTTCGCACGAGCTCAACATTGACCCGACTTTCAAACCAGTAAAACAAAAACGCAGGAAACTTGGTCTAGACCGAGCCGAGGCTGTAAATGCCGAAGTTCAGCGCCTGCTCGATGCCGGTTTGATTCGCGAGGTCAAATATCCGGACTGGTTGGCAAACCCTGTTGTAGTCAAGAAGAAAAATGGGAAATGGCGGGTTTGCGTAGATTTTACCGATCTCAATAAAGCATGTCCCAAGGATAGTTTCCCACTTCCGCACATCGACCGACTTGTCGAGTCAACTACGGGCCACAAAATGATGTCCTTTATGGATGCTTTTTCTGGGTATAATCAGATTTTGATGAATCCGGAAGACCAGGAAAAGACAGCTTTCATCACGGACCGTGGAACTTACTGTTATATAGTCATGTCGTTCGGGTTGAAAAATGCCGGAGCCACTTATCAACGGTTGGTGAATATGATGTTCAAAGATCTCCTCGGTAAAACGATGGAAGTGTATATTGACGATATGTTGGTGAAGTCAATATCAAGCACTTCGCATATTGAGCATCTAGAGCAGTGCTTCGCAATTTTGAATAAGTTCGGAATGAAACTGAACCCGACCAAGTGCACTTTTGCAGTTCCTTCGGGAGAGTTTTTAGGTTACATTGTCACGGAGCGAGGAATCGAAGCTAATCCGCGACAGTTGAACGCTTTTCTGGCGATGACTTCACCTCGCAACATCCGGGAAGTTCAGCGACTCACGGGGCGGATAGCAGCTTTGAACCGATTCATCTCGAGGTCAACCGATAGGTGCCTTCCATTCTATAATCTGCTCCGAAAAGCAAACAAGAATTTCATCTGGGATGAGAATTGCGAAAAGGCTTTCAGAGATCTAAAAGATTATTTGTCCAAACCTCCTGTGTTAGCGAAACCCGAGTTCGGAGAAGAGCTTTTCTTGTACGTATCGGTTTCTGACAGCGCAGTAAGTGGAGTGTTAGTGCGATTGGATCGGAACGACGAAAGACCGATTTTCTATGTAAGCAAGTCTTTTTCGGGAGCGGAGTCAAGATATCCGATGATGGAAAAGCTAGCTCTGGCAGTAATTACTTCGGCTCGGAAATTAAGACCGTATTTTCAATCTCATACGGTTATTATCCTAACCACGCAACCTTTAAGGGCAATTTTGCATAGTCCGAGTCAGTCAGGAAGATTGGTTAAATGGGCAATTGAGCTAAGCGAGTATGATATTCAGTTCCGAACAAGGACAAGCTTGAAATCTCAAGTCCTCGTAGATTTTCTGATCGAACTACCTCTGGTCTCCATGGAAGTTAAAGAAAATGAAGGACCTTGGATACTTCATGTGGACGGCGCGTCCTCAAAACAGGGTTCCGGGATCGGTATCCGATTACAATCCCCATACGGTGAGGTAATTGAACAGTCATTTCGTCTCGCATTTAGTGCGTCGAATAACGAGGCGGAGTACGAGTCTCTCCCTGCAAGACTTCGTCTACCGTTTGGGATAGGGGTCACCAAATTACGGGCCATTTGCCGACTCTCTGCTCGTTGCTAATCAATTTTCCCGGTGATTATGAAGCAAAAGATGGCAGAATGGAAACTTACCTCGCTCAGGTTCAGGAATTGAGTAAAAAGTTTCTTAAGTTTCGAACTCACTAGAATTCCGCGAAGTGAGAACTCAGCGGCGGATGCCTTAGCGGCATTGGCGTCGAGTTCCGAAGTAACAGTGAGCCGAATGATCCCTGTCGAAGTAATTGAACATCCCAGTATAGCCACCGGAGAGCTGAATTTCGTAACTACACGGTCTATGCAAAGAAGGATGAGTGTGGAACAAGAACCACAAAGGGTCGAGGAAACTGAGCAGAACTCCGAAGTAGAATCACTAATCGGAACACCGCTAAATCCGGAACCACTACCACCAGCGCTACCGCTTCCGGATTGGGGGGCAGACTGGCGGATACCCATCAGAGAATACATCCTTAATGGTACTCTCCCTGTGGATAAGTGGGAGGCACGGAGACTGAAAGCTAAAAGTGCTCGTTTCTGCATTTCGAGCGACACCCTCTACAGAAGAAGCATCTCGGGTCCTGACATGATCTGTATTTTCGGACAGCAGGTCCGTACTATGATAAAAGAGATTCATGACGGAGTATGCGGAAATCACTCCGGAGGTCGCTCTTTGGCTTATAAAGTAAGAAAGTACGGATATTTCTGGCCCACGTTAGTCTCGGATTGCGAGGAGTATGCGCGGAAGTGCGAGAAATGCCAGAAGCATGCACCTTCAATTCACCAACCCACCGAGCCATTATCATCAGTCTCTTCGCCTTATCCATTTATGAAATGGTCTATGGATATTATTGGGCCTCTTCATGTTTCTACTCGTGGAGTGAAATTTGTCTTGGTTCTTACCGATTATTTCTCGAAGTGGGTAGAAGCGGCAGCCTACGTAAACATAACTCAGGTTCAAGTTCGCAAGTTCATTTGGCAGGACATCATTTGTAGGCACGGTTTGCCATATGAGATCGTTACTGATAACGGACCTCAATTCATTTCACGGCAATTCGAATCTTTCTGCGAAGAATGGCAAATCAGACTCAGTCGATCAACGCCTCGTTATCCGCAGGGTAATGGTCAAGCTGAAGCAATGAACAAAACTGTTTTGTCTACTTTGAAGAAAAAACTCAAGTCGCACAAAGGAACTTGGTTTAATGAACTACAGAGTGTTCTCTGGGCAATTCGCACTACTCCTAGGCGTGCAACTGGTGAAACACCATTTTCATTAGTTTATGGAATGCAGGCTGTAATCCCTGCTGAAATATTTGTGCCAAGTCCGAGACGGATGAATAACCCGCAGAACGAGGCAGCAAATAGCGAACTGATGGTGGACGTTATTGATACCATTGAGGAGCGACGTGATCGAGCTTTGATTCGAATGCAAAATTACCAGAATGCCGCAGCTCGATACTATAATTCGACTGTCCGAAGTCGGCATTTCGACGTTGGGACATTAGTATTACGCAAAGTTCAGCAAAATACAGCCGAAGACGGAGCGGGAAAATTAGGCGTCAACTGGGAAGGTCCTTATCGAATTACTCATGTAGTTCGCAATGGAGTTTATCGCCTTGAAAACATGGAAGGAAAAGCAGTCCGAAGAGCTTGGAATTCCATTCATCTGAAGAGATACTTTGTTTAAGTATTTTATTATTTTCATTATTGTAAATCGAACTACGATAGACTTGATCTCCACCTTTGGGTACGTAGGCAGCTCGAACTTCGAGTGCAGTCTCTAAATCAAATAAAATGTTTATATTCTTCTAAACATCTTTCAAAGAAGCCGAGAATTATCTCGCAATCCGTGAAACCGAGAAGAACCTCGTAACTACTTTTCTCGAAACCGAGCTCAGACCTCTGGTAATTCTTGAAAAATAAGCCTAAGTTTTACTTAGCAAAAAAGGGTCTGGTTCAACACAGACTAGGGATTTCTGCGGACTCCGAGTCCCGATCCTCATTTTTTCTATTAAGAACACCCACTTAACTCTCGTTCTTAGTATTTCCCTTATCCATTGAAGAATGAATTCTGAGTTCATGTAAACTGCGTATCTCGTCGAAATCTTAAGTATTTCTTAATTTTTCATACGAGGTATTCAAATTTCTCGAATACTCCGGATTTATAATTCAAAAGGACTTATATAAAAATGGAGGGGAAATATTCAAGTCTTCAAAAAGCGATAAATAGGTTTTGAGTTTAAAAAAAATAAAACAACAAAGGGGGGCACACTAGCCATCACAACCCCATAACCAGATCATTGACCCTTGACGTCGGGATCCTGCTGCATCTCCTCGAGCAAAACGGCAGCTTCGAAGTCCTGGCCAGCCATGAAATCCTTGTTAGTTCCGAACTCATCAATGGCGACATCATCTTCGGGAAGAGATGTCTCTTGCACGGGCTCTGGGGGAGTCGCTACAAAGAGATGAGCAAACTCATTTGGTTGAGGTCTGAGAGCGCTTACCTCGCGAGCCTTCTTCTAAGCCCCTTCCTCGTCTTTCTTTACCGACTCTAGTTCGGCTTTTATATCCGGAATCTCTCCCTTCAGAATCTCCTCAAGAAGTTCTCGGTTCGCCCGAGTCTCGGCAAGACGCGTCCCAATCATCTCGTTATCACTGATGGCCTTGTAGTAGGTCTCATGCTTCGAGGCGAGTCCGCTATAGAGTTCACGGAGCCTCATCCTTTCATCTTTTTTTGCTGCTGCGAGCTCCTCGTCCCGTTTCTCAGCAGCGATCTTGCACCATTCCTCGCTTTGCTTAACTTCAGCTTCCAGCGAGGTAATCTTGTCACATGCCTCGAGGTACAAGTTCTTCCCGATCTTCAGCTTCTCGGAAAGATCAGTCTTGGCAATGTCAAGAAGGTTGCAGCGACCTTCGGCCTCCAACATTCGCTCTCGGATCTCGTTCACCTTTGCCACCGCCCTGGCATTTTCCTCTTCCATCTCCTTGAGTTGACGGATCTCTTCTTCGAGTTCGGCAACCCGGGCCCTGAGGCCATCCAGCTCGTTAACAGGAAAGAGCTGGGACTCGTGGCAGGAGAAGGTGGTGTTGTACTCGAGCATTAACTGTCAAAACGAAGATTCATGAGGACGGAAAGAAAAGTTCTTATTTTTATATATAAGGAGAAGAGTTCAAAGAATTACCTCTCCGAGTTTATCAGCGAAGCGAAAGTAGTTCGCTCTGTTGACCTCCTTCAAGTCACTAAAGGGAGGAATCCTCATCCCAACAGGAGTAAAGTTCCTCATGAAATCAGCTGGTGACTTCGGAGGAGCTGTTAAAATAAAAAAAACGTCAAAATGAACTCGAAGCGAGAGAGAAATACGAAGTGACTCTACTTACCAGTAGGGATTGGAATCTCCTGACGGACGGATCCCCGGTTCTTAGAGTCCCGCGAAGGCAGGACAAGAAGCTGAGTTGGCAAGTCGGACTCCGGGGCCCGTTGTGAATCTTCTTTTTCTTCTGGTTTTGACCCCAGACTGGTTCCAGCATCCTCGGAAGGATTTTTCTCGTCGTTCAGACGAGAACGACTCTTGCGTTGAAGGGAAGGAACTTCAGTTTCCTCGTTCCTGCGTTTCCTTGAGGAGGTTGCACTATGGCCTCCTTCAGAAATTCCTTTTTCCTGAGAAGATCGGGAGGAGCGAGAATCCGAGATCCGGATTAGGTCTTTTCCCGAAGACACCTTCTTTTGATCACGATGATCAGAGGTCTTCGATTCGGAAACCGGATCTACAGTACCCGAATTTTTCCCTTTACCAGATGAAGATCTGGACTTCCCTTCATCCAAGGCCTTCACCATCCTGGCCTTATCTTCTTTCTCTCTCGCTTCTCTCGCTTTTTCCCTTTCCTTCTGGAGCCTTTTCTCTTCGCGATAGGAAAGTGGAGACATGTTAGTGGCAACAGCAGGGGAGGAGGGAGGAGTGGAAGAAATGAGGTCGGATCGCGAGACAATTCGGGCACACGAACTCCGGATGCGTTCGCAAGTGAACAATTCCCACGACAGGTCGCTGCTATTGCAAATCTTTACGAATTGCCCCGCAAAGGTATGAGAAAGCGGTTTCTTCGGAAGTTTAACTGCAAAAGCAAAAACATTGACAGATTAGAAGAAAAAAAAAACAGACGAGTGAAAAGCAGTGAAAAACCTAAGGAGCTATCTACCGGGACGACGAGTCCATTCACGAACGAAATAGTCCGTATTTGGACCATAAGAAAATTCGTCTACAGCGAAGAAGAAGTAGGATTTTCTCCATTGCTCGTCTTTTTCGGGAAAATCCCCGAAGACTCTGAAATTACTCCGAGGACTGAGGAAAAACGTCCCCGGAGTTCGCCCCTTCTTCACTGTATAAAGATGGAGTACGTCGGATAGCGTGATACGGTATCCATTTTCCTCTGCAAGGGTCTGAAGGCACAGGACGGTCCGAACTACATTTGGACATAGTTGAGGAAGTGCGATTCCGAGCTCGTGCATCAATTCGACCAAAAGGCCGGGAAGCGGAAAAGATAGCCCGCAGTCCGAAAAGAAAATTTCAAAAGCGCAAGTATGACCGGTAGGTGGAGACTCCGGAGAATCTGTGGGACCCGGAGTAATCAAGGAGATTTGACGAGGGATCTGGCAGGCACCTTTCAGCAGAGCCAGCTTTTTATTGTCGAGATTCGAAGAAAAATACTTCCCGAACTCGCCTTCCATGATGTGAGTCTCATTCTGGATCTTCCTGCTTCGCTTCGGAGCCATAACGCAATTAAGGAAAATGTAGAGACGAAACAAGATCTGGTACCAGGGGGATTTGGGAAGATATTTCAAGAACAACTCAAGAACACGCTTGAGAAAACTCTGAAGATCTTTGTGGAAATCCAGAAAACAGGAAGGTCCAGCGGCGGATGTTCTCCGAGAAATGCACACGGATCGCCGGAATACGAAGAACACGGCGGAGCGGAAGAAGAACAGCGGGGA